CTTTTATTGCGAATTACAACAGGCATGATCGAACTATGGTTTACAAAACTTGACAAGCTCTGTGGGTGGTACATGTAGCGCTGCCGCTGTGTCTGTTGCATTCTCTTCTTCAAGTGGTAGTTTCTTTTTCGTTCTCAATCCTGCAGTTCATTTACTAGAATTTATACCCTTATAATTCGGCCACAGAAAAAAATATTTTTTGTTTTTCTTCTTATAAATCGGCCACTCCCCAAAATAATTATTTTTTCATGATCGAATTGATAGAAGGATTACGGTATGTACCAAGTTTCATTGAAATCTGACCACAGATAACTGTGGGATGAACGAACGAACGGCGGACAGATGGACAAATGTGCATGCACTCCTATTGTGTTTTTCACTCACGAGAGTCAATGATGGCACAGCTAGCAGCATGATTGGGCAGTCATACATTGATTTCTGGACATTTATTTTTAAACTATTAAAAGGGTTGCACATTCATATCTTTCATGTTGTTTATTAATAGATGTATAATTTGTGGTGGCGGATCAACCAGCGCCAGGGTATGCAAGTTATTTATGTCAATCATGAGTCATACTTCCTTCCGCTACTTTAATATTCATATATCGTTTTTAAAATGATAAAATGTAAGTAAACATATGGTACATTATAATTAAGGAATAACAAATGACACACTGTCTCAACTGCAAGACATCATTAAATCGATTACTAAAACATTTCAATTAAAGAACAGAAGATATCATTAGAAAATTAACAATGTGCATAGTATCAATGCAATGGGACTTGCTGTTTTCAACAAGAATTCAAAAATATCATTTTTCACCATAAATGATTGTGGTTTTTAACAAAAAGTTGAAAATATCACTTTTTACCAAAAATTACAAAAATATTCACCAAAATTAGAAAATTAAAGATATCATCATGAAATGAACAAATTTGAGAGTGGTCCACATGTAGTACCTATATATGTAATATCAAAGTAATTGGACTTGTCGTTTTTAACAAGAAGTCAAAAATATCACTTTTTACCAAAAATGACAAAAATATTCACCAAAATTAGAGAATTGAAGATATGATCATGAAATGAACAAATCTGAGAAAGGTCTACCCAAGGTACATATACACCAAGTATCAAAGCATTCAGGCTTGTAGTTTTCAAGAAGAAGTCGAAAAAGTAAAACATTGACACGGACGACGGACACCGAACGACGGACGACAGACAATCACTCATATGATAAGCTCCGCTCGACAAAGTCGACAGCGGAGCTAAAAAGCGCACATCTCTGTCCGATCCCTGTTAGTTATTAAAGAATAGTTTACACATGATTACCATGATCTACACATTCACACGATATTCAGAGAGGTTGATATCCACACTGTATATTTATATAAATTGGATTATCGGTATTCGAAAAAATGAGTCAAATTTGGAGCATTTTGGAAGAGATGGACGCTAAGCTAAATGTGACCCAAAAAATAGTAATGGCCTAAAAATAGGGGGTGGGCACTTAGTCGAGCATGGGTGCTAAGTAGGAAGAGTACGGTATAATCATCAATATTCTGAACATGTGGTTTGGAAATGTCAGATATTACTGCTGAAAAATGTATTGAAACACATTATGAAGGAAATTTGTAGAAAGCAATTATGTAATTGCAATTTACACAACTCACCTGTCAGCTTTCTCAGCCAGCAGTTCACTGCCCTCAAGATCATTAGGAAAATTGACATTCACCATGTCATCCAGGCAGTTGAAGATATATTTACGGGCTTCCTTGGATTTGATATGTGTTTCTGATTCATGTTCATTGGGTGTCTGTTACAGAGAAAATGATCAAAAAAGATATCATAATCGATGAACATTTTAAGCTCAACTACAAACTAAATGTCAATACTCAGAAAGCAGTCATTTAGTTACAATTGGCAGAGTCAACCACAAACATCTAGGTTAGTTCAACCGTTTTGTACTCATTTAAAGAGGGCTACTTTTTTCGTAAAGCTACTAAACCCAGCAGTGGTAGTAAAAGTGTTAATATATAACTATACATACTCCTCTATACAAACACATCACTCTTTATATATCAGAGATCAATTGGCAAAGTAATATTGACAGATATGGAGAGCAGGAAAATTGAGGATGACAGATTTGAACAGACAAAGTTAACTTCACTATCCGATATATTGCATATCTGATGTTCAGACATATACTGCTGAATAAGCATGAAAGTTGCCTACCATGCTAACAACTACCACACCCAACTAAATGAACAGTCATTATGCTAGTTTAGTAAAACACCATAACAATGGCCACACCCAACTACATTACCAATCATTATGCTCTGTGTCAAACACCATGTAAGTTTACAAACGTTACCAGACATTTTTATTCTATGTACTAATATTTTGCATACATAATGAGAATTACACTTAAATCTTGTCAAACTTATAAACTAACATTAAAATTATATTCTACAAATATTCTTGATTGTTTGCAACAGTATTTGATGCATTCTGATAATCAAACACTGATTTCACAGAGCACTCTGACCGAGTACATTACCATCAAGTACAACTGTTCCAACTGAAAGTAGACAGAAGAGCACAAAATCATACCTTAATTCTCCACAATGGGTAATCATTATTAATGTCTCGTCTGAAAAATCTGGTTGTTTTCGTTGCTTTACTCAGAAGGTGTTCTGCAGGCAAGCCTTGTGTTTGTGAAATGTAGCGAATCTAAAAACAATAACATACCAATGTTACTCAGAAATGTAGAAAAAAATTAATTAAAAGTTGAACATTTGAAAAGATGTGCACATACCAAGTTGATTACAAAATGTGTACTGAAATATTTTTCTGAACTGAAAAGAACATGAAAAAACAGATTAAATTGCATGCTATATAAATTATACAACTTACAGCAAGTGAAGCGAGCAGAGAGGTGGGAGACCTTCTATACTGATCCAGGGATCATAGAGTCAGTCTTAAATTCCTAACAAAAATTAACCTATGACTCATCATTAGCCAATCACATTCAATCTTTTATTGACAATATCATGGCTAGCATTGACTCATACAACATGATTCACGATTGGATGAGTCATTAGAAACAACTCGCCTATAGGGGGCGCTATAACAATTTCACAAGTAGCCTGTAACAATCCAGAATATGAAATTTGTTCTATCATCAGAACCATTCCAATAATGTCATTGTTTACACACACATAATAATAATTTCACAAATAAACAAGCTTATAACTTGGGAACACATTTTTATGAAGGTTTACAGTGATATATCTTTAACTTATAGTGAGAAACTATTTTACTCGTTACTGATAGTTATACAGGGAATATATATTATTTGCAGTGGATTGTGGGAATTCTGCATCACATCTCCACTACTGTTAACATAACCCCACCACCACCACCAAATCTTTATAATTCAGCAATTATTCAGTTCATTATTATTATAAGATTGACCTGAAGCTATCATTGTCTGCGACTATTAAACATGAGTAGAAACCCCATTACCAAGGAGTAGTCACATTTATAGAACTTACCTGGTCATACTCGGATGATCCTGGATACAGAGGCCAACCTAAAAATAATTCTGCTATAACACAGCCTAAAGACCACATATCGATTGCTTCACAGAATGGCAAACCAAGAATGATTTCTGGAGCTCTGTGTGAAAAGCAAACAAACAACGTCATGAAAAACGAGAGTATTGAACAAACGTTTTTTTTTGGTGAAAATTTTGTCAAACCACAATGATTTGTGGGAGTAGGTATACATTTGTACATGTCATTGTCACCAAGTATCGATCATTTAGCATGGAACATACTCCTGATAACAAGGTGAGAACCGACAAAGCAGAAGTACATACATAGTATGAAGGGATGTGAAACATACTCCTCAATCACAGGCAGTTATGCACAAGATTGGTCAATATTGAAATAAATTTCACACTTCACATTTTTTAAATAGGTACAATATACAGAATGTCAGACCAAGTAAACATGTTATTCACAAAGGTGCAATTGTGTTACAATCATGGTGGTCTACAATACAGTGCTCTCCACCCAACAACAGGATACCGCTATGAATTCTGTATTGTGAATCAGTATCTTTATCGTTGACCCCCTCCATCGCAAGAGGTCACTAGGTCATGTTACGAATGTCCAAGTAGCTCCTAACAACACATTGTTTTCTGTAATGTATTTGAATATAATGAAGCATAAACAACCAATAGATGTGGGATGTCAGGTCCATTGTTATACAGTCATATTCAATGCAGTGTTATAACATCACACATGTAATTTTAATTTCTGTGGTACTATCATCCATGAGGTACTTATAATTTACAATGATTTCCTGGAGTCTACAACAAGCCTTAATAGTAGCACTTACATTTACCTATATATAATGCAGCTATGTGTATGGTCGGAATTTATTAATCCAGTATAATTGCAATGTTTATGCGTGAATAAGTCTTATTAGAGACATGGTTCTAATAGTTCAGATACAGTATACTAAAAACTGTTACAGAATTCAAGCATAAGCACACAATGTTTTATTTTTTCCAACCCCAACCCTCATGTTTTTTGTCATAGTGTGTCAAACATTTTCTATACATGTGATACCATATTTGACCTAATAAAAGCACATGCCTAAAAGTTGGTTTGTGTGTGCTGCTATTAAAGATGTGCTTCCAATAGAACAAATACAATAATATACATGTGATTAATAATACTGACATAAATGTTTGACCTTTGACCCTATATCACTAAACCTTTCTACCATTACCATTAATAAATAAATTTGATTTGTCCTTCACTTGCACACATCTTTTTTAAGCTGATCATTGCACATTTGGTTGCCTGGTAACCCTGTACACTTATTCCACACTCTCTAGACCATATCAGAGGATATCAAATCCATTATGTACTACATCTGTGTTGTATTTCTCAGCTTTACCAGCCACTGAGTTTTGTGGATATTAATTAGAACCCTTCCCCTGTATCAAATAGCAAGTGTTGATAGCAGTAGACACAAGCACACTCAAAATAACCTGCAATTTGAGATAAATTACTGCAAGACAAAGCAGCTTTACTTTCTAAATTTTAAATTACTTCTCAACACCAATCACACTTCAACCATGTGTAGTGTGCTTATTATGATCAGAGCTTTAAAAAAGGAATACTTCATCGAAAGTTTCAACTTGAATTAGCGACTGAGATAATAATCTTATCAATAGTCAGATCTTATCTATAATACCGTTTTATTAAGTATAGTAATTTTAAAGCAATTGCCAACAAGGTGAGTTTAATACATCGTACATAAAATTTATACTGTAAATCCTTTCTAAGAAGGTTCAAATTTTGTGTCTTTAGGTTTTCTAGCGAAATTTTCACTGATACAAAATTTCATTATTTCATTTAAATTCTTTTAAAAAACAGAAAACGTAAATCCTTAATATCCATACCACTGTGATGCAATAGAATGAAGCACTGAACTTTGTTGACTGAAAATCAATTTATGACAATAGCCAGCTGATTTAGCTAAAGGTCAAACTATGTCTGTCAACCATTTGTATTTTTAAAATTGATATCACATTGTAATTGAGATATATGGCTGTATCTCTTGCAACTCACATGAAATATAGTGTAATACATTTTGTGTGAATACAAAACAGAAACAGTTTCATACTAGCTAGCATTGAAGCAGATAATGTTATTTAGATTATTTTTCATTTTAAAATCAGTTGGTCAAACAAATATACATTCTTAGGTGCAACAAGATGTATAATGTATTGAACAGAATCAGTCAAGGCATGTGAGAGATACGACGCTGAGATTACACTCATTAAAACAAAATTGCCACCATTTTTAATCTAATCTGAAAAACAAAATGATCAAGGTTTTAACAATGTCCAATGTTTGTAACCAAGCTTTTGTGTTAGATTTTAATGTGATCAGACGAAGCACATCTGTAAAACAGGACTGGATGGACAGATGGACTGACTGACACATGTATGGAGATCAATCCACAAGTCCAAAAGGAGGAAAAAAAGACTTGTGAGTGACAGGCACTCTAAGGCAAGGTCAGTTGAAGATCATAGCAGTAGATAGCTACTCTCTAATTGCAGAGGTCAATATTTTGACACTAGTTGACAATTTAAATAACGTTTGTTTTAGTCACTGGCAACAGCATTGAAAATATGACAATCATTAACACTGTAAAGCAGTTAAATTTGGGGGGGTTGGGGGAGTGGATGGAATTATGTGACAACAATGAATATGAGATGTTAACAACTACCGGGGATACAAGAATTTGTCATGGTTTATGGTGTACTACAAAAAATGTACAATTTGTGGGAATTACGTTGGTAAAAAGTACACACATTTATTGAATGAAGGCAAGTCAACACTCATGAACAGTGAAGTAAATTTACACCACTGTTCATACAGGAAATGTATACCCTTGCTATATGCAGGTGTAATTACAATGAATTGTGGGTGAACAATATACTGGTATACAAGTTGTTTATGCAGACTGAATCTAAAGATAAATTGCCCCCAAACTAGCACAATAGATTTGTTTAGACCAATTACAAATGCCTGACATGTGAACTGATCAATAACCAGTGGTTTACTGCAGTTCTCAATGTCAAGGTCCTAAAAACACTAACTCAAGGCAAGAAGGACATCTTTCTATTTAACACAGGGTTAGGTCTAATGCAGTAAACTATCATTTATTTTCCATGTCAATTCATGAGTTCTCACATAAATAAATATACCATGACAACAACAAAATGACAATCTTAGCATTTGTTTGTATTTGGTTTTGCCATATTAATTATTTTTGTTCAAACTACATGACAGACCCTTGCAAAGTGTAAAATAATATTTAACAACTGTCCATGTCTGCTAAAAAAAGGTAGCTTTTCATATCCTCGTAATATATAATGAAATTTATAGATTACTAATGAAAGTTAATAAAGCAATCAGAAGCATAGAATTATTATAGTTTTGAACATATAACTGTATTTCCTCATGGGATTTTATATAAACACCCATACTTACACCAAACCATTTATGTGGAAGTAGTTATTTGACTTACTCAGTTACTGTTACATTCCATGACTTTTCCAGAATCACAAAAGCAGGATTTTCTCAGACTCAAAAAATGGTGACTTTCTCATACTCACAAAATCACAACTTTCTCAGACTCACAAAATCACGACTTTCTCAGACTCACAAAATCATGACTTTCTCAGACTCACAAAACGGCGACTTTCTCAGACTCACAAAACGGCGACTTTCTCAGACTCACAAAATCATGACTTTCTCAGACTCGCAAAATGGCGACTTCCTCATACTTACAAAAGCACGACTTGCTCATCCTTACAAAATCAGAACTTTCTCAGAAATTCACAAAAAATAATCTCTTGCAAAATTAAAGTGCTTTAAACAGAAGATCATACATGAACAAATTGAATTGTTTTCAATGTGTCAATTAGGGCCATTAATAGTCCACTGGTGTCTACAGAAACTCCGCATATTTTTACAATGTAGAGTTGAATCCACAGTTAGATAAACTCAGACATGCTAAACATCTTTAGACTAACTACAAACTTTTACCACAATGCAAATTAGGACATTTTCATTGAATTGTTTTGTCAACTGCCTGCAATTATTATTTTTTATGACTTTGCTTTCTAATAAATCAACAAAGATACAACAAGACCATGTTGGCTCTCACGCACATGACAAAAGTGTGTCTATGAACAAAGTAAGTCGTATTTTAGCTAATTAGAATACAATATTGCCAATTTGGGTTCAACATGTGCAAAATGTGCTTCTAAATAGGGCAGATATGGTCCTTGCTAAAATGATTAGATTTTGTTGTTGCCATAGTAATATACAGCTTTCAGATATGCCTGTGATAAATTTATTTGTTTGAGATTTAAACTTAAACTCAATATTGTGACAATAAAGTTCAGTACTAAAGCTGATAACGGTCACCAATCGATATAAAAACATGCTTGCCAATAAGAAAACAGGGTAGTTCCAACAGTACATTAATGTGGGAACATGGCAGCTTGGACAAAAAATAGATAAAATTCAACATTCCAAAATTACAACATTTCCGAATCATACTAAAAGTGTACTGCCAACTAAATATAAAATGCATGCCTGGAGTTAGGATAATTTGCTATTTAAAATGGCTGTGAAAAGAAATAAAAAAAACACTACACCGCAGAATTTATTTCCTGTCTGCCCTCTCTAATTAGTTTACTGTTAGAAGACCTATGCATTTGGGCTAAAGAGGCTAACAAATGGGAAATGAGTTGTTGTAAAGCTCCCCTAATGGGCCCCAAGTAATCAGCTGTTTGAATGAAAACTAATATGGCTGCATGCTGATTTTAAAAAATCCATATTTAGAAAGGCTTGTTGTAAATTTTAACAGCCACCATCATATCTGTACTTTTCACATGGGAAGAGATAAAATTTAACTTATTTTCAGAATGCACAGAGATTTTGGAGATGAGAAGAGACATTTATAAAACAGACATACAGCTGATAATCATAACAGTTACATTGTGTTTAAAAACAGATATGATTCAGTAGAAATTCAAAATGATGGTCATGAATTAGCCAGAATATTTAGAGAATAAGTTGTATTTTGGGTAAAAATTTTAAAAAATAATTCATTACTAAACGATAAGCTATGAATGATGAATATTCGAAAGGGATTCTTATTTTTTAATTCTAGAATTATGTTACAATTTCAATAAATATTTACCACAGACCTGTGCCTTACAGTCAATCGTTCCTTGATGCTATGGCATGGCACAAAAGAAATATTCAACTCACAAACAATGATTATAGTTGTGTCTCATGGATAAAAACACCAAAGTTTTGCAGAGCTACCAGAACAAAAATACTGCAAAAATACCAGTGTATTAATTTGATACTGAGCCTGGCTTTTCTCTTGTATTTCTAAAACGTCATAAGGCCACTGGATAGTATTTTGATAAATTATTTGACATTTTCCCACAATCCTTGTAACATCATCACTTGTAATTATGAGTAATAAACTATACAGAGAATATTGTATTCTGATGTTACCTTCAAATATGTGAGACAAGAGACAGAGAAGTGGAAATGCCCTAACCCTAAATATTGCATTCACCACAATTCTGTATCACAGATCAGGCAAAGTGAATAATGCAATTCGTTTACATATACATGTATATTACTGCCAGTACAAAAAGCATGGTAAAAAGAAAGATAGAACAAAAATATGGTGTGAATAACTTGTGGAGTATTTTAGGGCATATTGCGTTTGATATTGATGTGCTTTTTATAAAATAATACTCGTTTAGAAACAACGCAGTTTCATTTGATAAATCCTGACAATTTTTTAAGAAAATCTAGGAGACATTTCACTGTTTATGGCTAAAAAAAAGTTAAGCTTTAGGAAAAATAACTATTTTTTTTTATCAAGATGCAATATAAAAAGAAAAGATTTAAACAAGCTCAAATAAGGACAAAGTTTTGACATTTCCTCTTGAACAGATCCTTTCTAAAAATGTACATTTCTACAATAATCTCAACTTTCATCACTTTACTGAATATTGATATTATCCTATAGCGAATCATTGATAACAATCTGTGCTAGCTAATCATTTCCTGTGTGGTATGCCTCAATTTGAGCAAAGTATTTTCAGTCTATTGTGGACAGGAGTTGATATACTAGATGAATAATTGATGTGAATAGAATTGGCTGTCTCCTACTCTTAGTGAATCGATGTCACCTTTAGATGGTAAGAATCTATTATCAGAATTCATATCCAAACTACATCTAAATTAAAATGCTTGTTTTTTTTTCTTTACTGAACTTGACAGATTTTGTTATCATTTGACAAAATATTTTTGTTTTTATTAAACAATTCATCTTTTTCAAATCGACTGTAAAGAGATATTTGTAATTCTAATCTGAATGAATTCAGTTTGCGAGAAGAACATCTTAAAAGCATGCTCCGAATCAGCTAACTAGGACAACCGTTTACATGAACCAGAAAAATTTATTTGATTTCCAGACAGTCAGAACAATGTCCCTGGAAAGCAACGTAGTCAAAAATAGAAATACTAGCATTGTGTATTGTGGACCCTATTTAGCATTACAAAACCACACATCTTTAGAAACTGAGTTTGGTAAGTATACCAGGCAGGTGCAAGAAGTGATTTCATGCAAATACCAAAGGTGATATAAAGCTAAGATGAATTATAGGGGCTTGGGATACCATGCCTTGCATTCATTATGCTAATCCACACAATAAACCCAAATTCCTTACTTGTCTGTAGACTTTCATTTTGAAACTAAGAGAAAGGCAATCAATTGAATGTTGGAATGTGCCACATGTTCTTAAACAATACGCTAACATATTTCAAGTTGGCCGAGTGTGTCTGCTGTCAGATTTCTTTTCAAATCAACACAAATATACAAGGTCATTCTACACTTCATTCAGTGAAAAGCGTAATCAATTCTACTCATGTTTTTGACTGAAGTTTGGAGTACACTGGTTGGTATAATATTTATTAGGAAACATTTTGTTTTTAAAATCTGCTCAGCATTTATGTCATTACTATTTTTTTGCTGTTCTCATCTTACAATATTGTAATCAATTTATCTACATAAATATCATTTATACTATGTCTGAGATAATACAAATAGATAAGGTAATTGGATATACATATCACAATTTCAAAATACAGGCATGTGAAACAATCTTGACAGGAGATAAATATATTATCAGTATAATTTGCATGTTCATTCATTTATCATGTCAAATATGCATTTGGTTTCATCTGAACTTAAACTATCACAAAATGAATGAATGAATGGATGGTCTTTCTTTTAAGCCTCAAGGGACAACAGCATTCAAATGATTGGTAGTCAAGGTGATACAATACCTGACAAAAAAATATACTTGTAACCAACAACAACATTACTATGACAGTTAAATTTGTATTCTTGGTGTTTTGTCAGTGTGCTGAGTAGAAAGCTTTTTTTTTAAAAAATTAAATGTGTCAGGTAGATGGTACTATTCATATTGTTTGTCACGTCAATACACACTATTGGACAAAGGCAAGATTAGACAAATAGTAGGTTAAATGCATTAAAATGTTGAAGGAATGAAGTCGACCAAAAGTGATTCCCATAATAACAAGCTTTGGTGAATTCTCCTAGCATTCATCAAGCTAGCATACCTAATAACAATCTCAATGACAGGTCCTGTAATACTGCTCTCTGTAAACAAAGATTATTCCATTATATTAAAGGTGGCAAAGATACAAACAAAAAATAAGGAACATACCTGTAATATCTTGACTGGAGATAAGTTGAACAAACTGCTTTTGAAACATGACTTGCAGAACCAAAGTCAATGACTTTGACTCTATATGGTTGCCTGAGCGGGTCGACTAACATGATGTTTTCAGGTTTCAAGTCTGCATGTATAAGGCCCAGGTTTTTTAATTTCAGTAAAGCTACAAGCACCTGTTGTGTTACTGGCCGGATATATTTCAGCGGCATCGGACTAAATTTACTTTGTTTTAGAAAATCATATAGGTTCTGTTCCAGCATTTCAAACACCAAACATGTGTGGTTCTTATGCTGAAAACACTCATAGGCTCGTACAAAGTTGAACTCATCAGCATTCTCAGCACTCAGTCTTGCAAGAATACTAACTTCAATTTGTCCTTGGCGGGCATATGATGGATGGTTTTTCAGGATCTTTATCGCTACAATCTCATTGGTTCCTCTTTTCCAAGCTTTCACCACTTGTCCAAATGTTCCCCGACCTAAGAATTCTAGGACTTCATATCGGTTAGTTTGTGAATAAAGAACTTCATGTTGCACCAACTGGTAGTCTCCTTCACTATTTGACGAGCTGTTTTTTGATGTTGTTGCTGTAGATGTTGCGACTGTTTTATGTCCACTACCAGCATTGGCTGTTGTTGCCGTGGATGTTGCGACTTTATTATGCCCACTACTAGCATTGGCTGTTATAGAAGTGGTTGCGGTGGTCAGTGCAACATACTGTTCTTGCCCACTATTGTCGAGCTCTTCACTTTTACGTTTCAATCCACACTTTTGATAGGTATCAAGGAGAGTTATCGTTGATGCCCTGACAAAGCTCTTTGATGGTGTTACTGGTACATTTTTATTGATAGTGAATTTACTAGTTCTAGGAACAGCCACTACTGTAGGAGTCACTAATGTTAGTGGATTCCTACTTGGTCTCTGCTGGCTGTCCGTGTTCGGGTTTGCATTCCTATCATATTTCCGGTCTTTGCTTTCGACTCGTTGCTTCTTGACACTGGAGAAGGCACTGGTTTGAGACCCAAAGTGCGTCTGACAGCTCTCTTGTGAAGACATTTCTGGAAAATAGAATTTGAAACAAACTCTTATCAACAAATAGATACAATAATCATTCATGAAGTATCCATGGCAACAGATAAGATATAGAAAGCAACAGACTAATAAAAATAAACTCATGATGCTCTATTAGAAGTACATGACTTGCAAAATGATCTGTCGTGAAAGATTATAGAGTGATAAGAGACTCAAACAATAACTCAGTCCAGAATTCTGATAGCAGACTCCATCTTCACTAAATGCCTTGCCTTGTTTGAGTAGGCAACATTGTTCTCATCCAGAACATCAAAATACTGTGTACACATATTAGAAATGCAATCGTAATAGAGTAAAATACAGTACTGCACAGTAAGTCACATTCATGAACAGACAAATCAGGTTGATCATTAAAATATTTCAATTACTAGAGGATATCGAAATGAAGTAAAACCAAGTTCATAAAGAGGTAAAATATCCATTGTGAAATTTTGAATTCTATATTTATCATGCAAAGATTCATATTATTATTTTCCATGATTAATGGCCAAGGCAATATGAAGAGTTAATATTTGAAGGTAAACATATCATATTGTGACCACCTTTCAAAACATTAATTTTGAGTGTCACACAAAGGAGGCTCCATCAATCTAGTAAAACCATGGTTGGAAATTAACGTAGAAATATTCAGTTTGTCAAAATGACAGTTTAATAAATTTTTCAAAATGATATCCAAGAATATTTTATGATTTAAAATATGAGACCAAATGAGAAAGCAGCCTATTGTATTCATTTAAAATGGCAGCCACCCCCATCAAATAGTGCTGAACTGGCAGTTCTAAACATAATGGCGCTTAACTGCTTTGCTGTTAGCATTATATTTAACAGATGTTCGAAATGATGGTCTAGATGACTGGCTCATTCTGGTAATTCTAGTACTCTCATTCAATCGTATTTTCAATGGAACAAAGATATTTAGACAATTCATTTTGTTTATTATTAATATTAATATTGAGGCACATTAATAATTAAAGGTATGTCATTAATGATAATTACAATAAAAGAAGATAATTAATTTGAAAGGATTTACTACTTTTAGCATCAAATACAGGATATCCACAAGTACATGTATGCCCACCCACTTTACCCTTTATCCAGCGAGTTACACAAAGAATTCTAATGCAAGCGTCATTTATGCAACTTTTCATTCTTTCCTCCTGCCTAAATTAGAGTCATTTTTTCTGTGCATGAATGACATGTATACAAAATACGATGTTCATTGTGCTAGCATGAATGGGTAAATTTTGTTTAGACAATGAGCGGTTATCACTGTAAAAAGTGTTAAATTCTTATATGCTCAGTTTATCTCTACATGTAAAAATTACTCATTTCCTGTTTTTAAAAAAATTGTGCAGTTTTATCAACCAAAATCAATGGCAAAATAATATACTTCAACATTTATAATTTTCATGATGAGTTTGATATTCTCATCAGCAATATTCAGAATATCAATTAACAATTTCAATTATAAACACAACATTGTGATGGTCAAAACTGGCTTGCTCAATGGATGTAGTTTTGAGTGAAAAACAGATTGTTGATAATTGTTTTGTATTCAGTGTTGACATGAAACTGAAAATATTAACCTACGTTGAAACTAAGTTGGATTTTACTTGCATATCACAACAATCCAACAAACTGATATTTGTAAACTATAAACATGACTGAGTAATAATCAATGAATCATAGACCTCAAAACAAGCAGCCTATCGGCTGAGATAGCTCCGCTGTTAGCATTGCACATTTCAATTAATGAACTGAAGACATCATTAGAAAATGAACAATATGAATAGTATCAAAGCAATCGGACTTACAGTTTTTAACAAGAAGTCGAAAATATCACTTTTTACCAAAAATTACAAAAATATTCACCAAAATAAATTAATTAGAGAATTGAAGATATCATCACAAAACGAACAAATCTGAGAGAGGTCCACATGTAGTACCTATATATGTAATATCAAAGCAATCGGACTTACAGTTTTCAACAAGAAGTCGAAAATATCACTTTTTACCAAAAATTACAAAAATATTCACCAAAACAAATTAATTAGAGAATTGAAGATATCATCACAAAACGAACAAATCTGAGAGAGGTCCACATGTAGTACCTATATATGTAATATCAAAGCAATCAGACTTACAGTTTTCAACAAGAAGTCGAAAATATCACTTTTTACCAAAAATTACAAAAATATTCACCAAAATTAGAGAATTGAAGATATCATCACAAAATGAACAAATCTGAGAGAGGTCCACATGTAGTACCTATATATGTAATATCAAAGCAATCGGACTTGCGGTTTTTAACAAGAAGTCGAAAATATCACTTTT